AATTAAAATTTATGAATATACTCTACTGACCTTTAATTGATGAACGCTTTTGATTCCGCAATTCCAAACTTATTCACTACTAAATTTGTGCGGTTGCAGAAAAACCAATTATTTTAAATGACAAATGTTATTATACATTACTATAGAGGAGATGAAGTTTTAATCCCAGTTTTTATAGTCACAACGTTTTACATTCCGACATTCCTCATATATTTCCCCGTTTGAGTAATTTTCTCGTATTGAACACTTTACTAAATCCATGAGGATAGACTGTTCTTAGCCTGTTGCTCATGGCAGGGGAAATAACTCATATTAATTCTTCCAACTAAATTAGCTATTGTGATATCATTGCTTGACTCAGTGATTGACATTACAATTGCATACCCTTAACCAATGTTTTTATCCACTCATTAATTGTTCCGTAGGAAAGTCAGGTGGTGAAATTCTCACATGTAATTTTCAACCAGACTTGGAGAATAGTTCCCGGCGAAATGAACACATTGTACCACTGTTCTCTCTCTCTCTTCACCCAGACATCACACACACACACACACACACACACGCACACACACACACACACACACACACACATATATATATATATATATATGTTGCTCTCTAAAATTTCATATTTGGGCAGATTTTAAGAATTGGGTCGGGGTCAAGTTGAGAACTTTTCAGCACCGCATTGTTTGTATGCATGCGTATATAAATATGTTGGTGTTGATTCCGAAAAGCAAGTGAAGTCGGGTTTCCCAGACTAAAATTGCCAAATTTTTTTCTCTCTGGAATCTCACGTGTGAAAGGGAATTTGCTAAACATAGTCTATTTATATTTGTCTTCCGACGAATACAAAGCAATGTCTACTCGCAGACACTGATACAGGAATATACGTTACTTGGCATCTACACTGCTCACAGGAAAACTTATTTTTGCCTTGAAGGTTTCACATAAACAGATATAAGCCCACACTCTCTCGCCAGCTTGTGAACTGTTACAATATTTATAGCTCATTGTAAATAGAGGGTAAATAGGTGTTTAATAAGTTTAACCTTATTTAGACAAATGAAAAGAAATGGGGCCAGGAAGATTATGTTACGCCATTTGAGTAGAGAGGGTCGGTCGGCTTGGAAACAAGCATTGAAATTTCTCACTTTTACATGAAAGCACCAGTGGGAAATAGGCAGTTATCTCAATCTCAAAGCAGTCTCTGGACAAAGTAAATATATTAACGTGAGAAATGATAATGATATAAGCAGCATTTACACTATTATTTATATACTTTTATTTTTCCTGTATACAGTGACCTCAAAACCAAGTAAGTGCTGAATATTAGGACGTAAAAAGTGATACATATATCTGAAGGCTCATTGGAATAACATTCAAATTATTAAGTGACAAGAACATTACATTAGAAACAAAGAAGAGTACTGACTTTTGATGTAATATCAATTCTCCTATATGGCAGCGAGTGCTGGACAATTTCCTCGCAGATAAAGAGGAGACTTGAAGCAACAGAGATGTATTTCGGCAGAATAATGCTGAGAATACCATAGACGGAACATGTGAATATGGAGAGTTTTGAGGAGACTTGTCTTTTTTTGCTTTCGAGATACATAACAAGGAAAGAAAGCTTGGAGAATTTGATACTAACAGGGGAAAAAGAAGGCAAGGGAGATGATAATAAAAGTGAGTAACCTACCTAACGAGCTTGTGTAAATGAATGGCAGATTAGAAATTTGTGAAATGCTACGATCGCCTGAGAGGGCACAGCACACAGAAATTGAAAAAATAAATCAACTCTGAATTGATTTGGCTTTCGCGTCTTTAGGTCAACTGCTGATGTTTTAACGCCTATTGCTGAAAGAGTTAATCAAGCTTTAGAAAACAATGGCGATGCTTTGGCTATGGTTTTGGATATATCGAAGGTGTTTATCAGGGTTTGGTATGCTGGTCTTCTTCACAAGTTGAAAGGTTATGGCATTTTGGAGTTAAGTTTTGATCTGATTCAATCGTTCTTATAAAATCGTGAAATGAAAGTTTTCTTGAATGAAATGAAAGTTTTCTTGAATGAAATGGAAGTTGTATTTTTTGACTTAATGCGTGGATCACGTAGGGCTCTATTCTATGTTGTTCCTAATTTTCATCAACAATCTTTCCTGGTGTCACCATTTCTCAACTCGTAATCTATCCTGATGACAACTATTTACGTCTATTTTCAATCTAAATCTGATCGGTTTGATATTTTCAAATTAGCAGCTCATCTAAAAAATTAACTCGCATCTGTTGCTTCATTGCGCCTTCTAACGTTTTCTGTTAACACGAAGTGGAAAGATTATATTGAATCAATTGATATGTTTGCAGCTAGGAAGGTTGGTTCACTGTGTCGTGCTACACAATATTTTCCAAAACCTCGTCGCTGCAAAAGGCTTCTAGTCATAAAATTGAGTAGAAAAGATGAAAGAGAAAAAGTGAAGTAATTATTACAATTAGAAATATATTTAGCATAATTCTTATTCAAAATTATTACTGTATATTGCAAAATTATGGAAAATAAAGATATTAAAATCTTTCTTAAAATGTGATTAAAATATTTGCATCAAATCCAGTGCACTGTGAGAGGTTTTGCATTTTTCACTGGAACAGAAAGTCAAATGAAATGTAACAAGTACTTTTTCATATTCTTTTCGAATGAATTTAACAATAATCAGTGAAGAAAAATCGTGGTATGAAAGTGCATGCATATATATAAATATATATATATATATAAGACCCAAGACGGTGAATCAATAAATACGTTTCCTGACACATTTATTATTCGGTATGTTTACTTAATGAAGAAGCATTCGGTTACGTGCATTGACAAAGGAGAACGAGTGTGTCAAAAATAGTGTAAAAGATAACACCTTTTTTATTATTAATCTACGGACATACCGAATCACCTATATATATATATATATATATATATATATATATATGTGTGTGTCTGTGTGTGTGTGTGCGTGTGTGTAATGCACATTTTTCTCTTGCAGTTCTGGCAGGTGCCGGAGGTCTTTTGTATACCGTGGGAAAATATATACAAACGTTTCGGTCCCTTCTCTTCTGTTATCATTGTTGATTTGTGTTATCGCTATCTTTTCAAGATATGCGTAAAAGAGGAGGAAAAGTGGAGTAAAAAGAGAGGGAAAGACACAAGGTAATAACATTGAGTGATAGAAAAAGCAAAATGCTGAAGTGGTCGTTGAAAGCTGGCCAAAAAGAGAACAATTTAGAAAGAAGTGATATGTGAAAAGTGGGCATTTTTCACAGTTATTTGTCTACGAAATATATAGAGAGAAGCGAAAATTTGCTTTTACATGTCTCCATGAAATATTACATACCTATATTATTAAATACCACATATAATAATAATAATAATAATAATAATAATAATAATAATAATAATACCCTGGGGTTGCACAAGGATTGTCTCCCATGGCTTCTTATCTGATTGGTGGTGCTAACATATACCTGTTTTGTCTTGGTGAATTTAGATGGGTTACAGTAAATAACACGTTCAGTACCATTTGGCAGCTAACCTAGAGGCTGACACACTGAGTGAGAGTAGTACATCATGACCGAGTGTCAATAGTTTTTTTTTAAGTTTTAAACTTAATGACGAAACCAAGATTTGGAAAGACCCCCAATCGTAGGACGCCTCTGCATTCTGGGTTACTCGACCTGAAAGATTTAAGCATATTACGCACATTTAACTGTGATGCATGTGCTTGGTATACACATTAGAATGACTATCATGATCAATATATTGGACTTAGTATATTTATACACCAGCGTCACTTTGTTAGCGTTCTGCTCTCTCTTTGAATATTCATGCGAAGAATGATATTGGCTCAGCCTCTCAAAATAAGATAGCAGGAAATAGATCAGATAGAAAGAAATGTCAGTAAGAAAATTGTTCTTTCAAGTGGAGAAATCTTTTGACCTGATCCAAACTTCTGAATTTTTCTTTGGTATCGTTAGGAAATAATAAACCATTTCACTCAAGAAGCAGATCCATTGTGATTATTTACCAATCTTAGTTTGACACAAAATTTGGATGAATTGTTCTATAAGACAAGTTCTAATCAGCACGCTACGACAGGCGCTAATAATTATTATATAGAACAAAACAGTAAATATGAAAACCTTTTTTTTCAATAGAGAAATATATTTCGGCATTTATCTGAATAGCAACTTGGCTTGAATTCATATAGACTGATAGTTAAACTGCATATCTACAAATGTTGTAGAAAACTTAAGGACATCAAAAAAGATATTCTAGATAATGGACAGGTAAGCATTTGACATACGTTTGTTGAAAGAGATTGTGAGCTAAGCGATGGACAGATGGGAAGTGTGCAGGTATTGGGTAATAGAGAGCTGAGAAAAAAGATATCCGTGTGAGAAAATAGGAAGTGACAAGGTAAATAGCAATTATTAATAATGAAAGAAGAGATGCTTAAAAAAATGAGGTGAAGAATGCGTTACTGAAATATGGTAGGGTCTACTTAGGATTTCTCCAACTCATGTAGTCCATGAAATTATGCGAAATCTCACGTCTATATCTGGGTGTTCAAGCGTTCTTTCAGTTGAAACTTGGTTTTGCAAGACTATGTAGCTTTCCATGGAATTTATCGAAGTAAAAAAAATCCGGTTTTATTCGAAATTGAATACGTTTTTGCATGAACTAAATTTTCAATGCTTCTCTTATGTACCAAGAATATGAACACAAGAAAATTCCGTTAGTCGACTGGTTGCAGTAGGAGTTCAAATAAGAAAAAAATACATTATTTCGAATGCTGATTGTCAAGGCAAATGCATATTCCCTGAATGGAAGAATGAAGCTATAAAACATTCTTTGACCATATCTCAGGGCAATCGCTTACTAGCAAAATATGTGATACTCGTGATATTATAATGTATTTTGGCAAAGAAATGCCCGCGAGAAAAAGTTTTCGAATTTAAGATGACAGAAGGAAAGAAGCGATAAGGGTAACATGAGATATATATGGAGGAGAGAGTGATGTAGGAAAGGTATAAAGAGAGAGGTGACGAAAGAGAGGAGAATAATGTCTAGGGAGACGTGAGTGGAAGTAAAGAATTGTGTGGAGAGAAAGGTAAAAACATGTAGAAGAGGGAAAATAGGAGAGAAGGAGTAGGAGAGGGAGTGTAGGCGGAGGAGGAGAATTATTGAAGAGAAAAAAGAAAATTTTAGGTAAGGTTAAAAAGTGTGATAAACATAGGGGAAAAGATTGAAAGGAAACGGCAAAATATTTTATACATTCAGAATGAAGACACAAGTAAGAAATACATTATTTCGTAGACATAAGTAAGAAATACATTATTACATAAGAAAATTTAAAGGAAGCGATCGAGAGAGAAAGCATAAGAGATACAAAGAGAAAGCATAAGAATAATTTGGGAAATTAAGAGAAATGAATAAAAAATAGAGAAAAATTAAAGTAGTTAACTGAGAACAAGAGAGACATAAAGAGGAAGAATTATTGAAAGAGAGAACTGAAAAACAGATGTTAGAAAAAGGAAAAACAATGAAACATTTGAAGAAAAGAAGGCACTAGAGAAGGAAAAAAAGTAATTCTCTATAAGACTAATGAAAGAGGAAAGTACAAGACAGAAAAGTTAGGAAAACAGAAGAAGAAAACAGAAAGAAAGAAGGGGAAAAGACATAAAAAGATGAGAAAGAGGGAAGATGATGATGATGATGAGGAAAACAGAAAGAAAAGGAAAAATAAGACAGATAAGCACAGACGAGAGAGGGAAAGCGAAAGATGAAAGAAAAGAGAAAATAGTGTCGAAAAAGACATGGAAAAAGAGGATCGGGAAAGAGAGAAACGAAAGAAGCGAAAGCAGAGAGAAAGAGAAGAGAGAAAGAATTGAAAGAAGAAGGATTAGCGAAAGAAGAGGGTGGGTCAAAGACAGTCAAAAAGATTGAAGAGAGAGAGAGAGAGAGAGAGAGAGAGAGAGACATGAAAGAAGAAAGGGTTACGAAAGAAGAGAGAGTCAATAGTAGAAAAAAGAAGTGAAAGTAGAAGGGAAAGAATAGAAAAAGGGTAAGGCGAAAAAAGAAAGAAAGGAGAATGAAGAAAAGCAAGCAAAAGAAGAGAGAGAGAGAGAGAGAGAGAGAGAGAGAGGTGAACGAAGAGTGAAACAAAAGAAAGAGAAGGAGAGAGAGAGAGAGAGAGAGAGAGAGAGAAGGAAGAGAATGGAGAAGTAAAGAAAGGCGAACCTAATGTCTACGAGAATACGTTCTGCTTTTGAAATTTTATTACGGAATGGTGTGCCGAAAAGTTCCCACGCTTTCCCCAAAAGCTGCCCGCCTGCCGACGGCCCGTAAATATAGCTAGGCGCAAATTTACCTTACCTTACTTACTAGCCACACCACCATCTCAACCCGCACTGTTGCTGTTCTCTACCTGTTTGAATACCTACTTGCCGACATATTTATATACACCTACGTACCTCGCATGTGTCTAACAAAATTATTCGTTCAACATCTACAGCAAAAAAAAAACAAAAAACAGCAGCCGATAAAAGAAGAAAAAAGTGTGTGTGTGTGTGTGTGTGTGAGTGACTGAGAGAGAGAAAGGGAGACAGAGGTAGAGAGGAAAAACGGTGGAGAGTGGGAACAAATATGAAGATAGAGAATATGAAGAGGAGAGTAGAGAGAGAAAAGAGCAGAGAAAGTGAAGTGAAAGTTGAGAGAGAGAGAGAGAGAAAGAGAGAGGAAATAATCACAGAGAACAAAGAGGGAGTAAAGAGAAAGGAGAAGAGGATAAGAATGAAGAAATTGGAAAAGAAAGGAGAGAATACACAAAGGAAGAGAGAAAGAAAGTTGAAGAATAAAGATGATTTTAACAGCAGAGAGGAAAACGTCACGCAGGCTATTTGAAATCTCCCCTGAGAAGAGTCAAATAATGGCCCATAGTCATTTAAACATGAGTCGTGCTGAGTATGGACACACAAAGCGTTCTAAAATTTAGCTCGTCTGAGTAGCGAACATTTTCACAGAGGTCGAGCTAGCCAGAGTGCAGTGGAAGGATCTGTGGAGACAGGAAGTCTTCTTTGGTGGAAAAGAAAGAAGCAAATGTAAAGTAGTGGATAATAACGACAAGAAGCAAATGAAAACAGAAGATACTGAAGCAGTCAAAATATTGCACATACCGTGTATAAGTCGAGTTGTTAATTCTCAACTTTTAAGGCAAATATCTGAGTATCGACAATGTAAAATTTAAAAAGAAAAAACAGTGTACTTGTAAATAGCAAAGGGAAAATATTAGCTATATGAACATTTTCACAGCGTCATATACTTTTAAAGAGACTGGATACACAATAGAAAACCGGTTTAATAATGAAAAGAAAACTGATGGAAACTTTTGCCTCCATAATATTAGGGTGTTCAGAAAGCAAATCCAGTTTACCCGAAGGTGTATAAAAAGTAGATTTATTTAAATATTATTTATCACAAATGTAATTAGTTTCATTTTCAACGACTCTGGCTTAGCGGGAAGAGACATTATTCTCCTCTACTCGCTGAAAATATTCAAAGATTGTTTTCAAATTCTTTGCTTCTAAATATTCTGCTACTTATGAAATATTCTAGTGATCATAACAAATGAAAATTGGTAGATGCTAAAACTAGTGACTATGGAGGCCGTGGAGGAAGATCTTCCTCTTCTAATGATCTTATTTTTTCTTGTGTTTGTTTTGTAGAGTGTGCTTTAGCATTTTCTTGCTGGAGAATAACACATTTTTTTGTTTACCAAAGCAAAACACTTTCGAGATAATGCTTCGTTTACACGATCAAGTTGCTGGCAATAAACATCGACAGTGTCGGTCGTTCAATATTGCAGTAGCTTATAATGGAAAACACATTTTATATTCTGTCAAACACAGAACAACGATTTTTCAAGATGGCGGAGTCCTGATTTTCGTGTTGGCATTAGTTTCTCATTTTGTGATAACCACTGTCTTTTTCGAAAACCCATTTTTCACCACCTGTAACAATACGATTCAAAAATGAAATATTAGCATTCCTGATTAAAAGAGTGCTGCAGATAGTTGAACGTTGTGATCAGTTCCGAAGCGAAAGTTCATTAGGAAGTCAAATTTTCTCTTTGCAAGTTTCCCAATTCACTTGAAACGTTTGTGGACAGTTGTATATGACAGTTTCTATGTCAAATACCTTGTTCTTTAACGTGGATCCAAGTTAAGAATCTTTTTCCAAAGTTCTTCAATCAAAGTGGGTCATCTTCCAAAGCGAGGGTTGTCTCAATCACTACTTTCAAAGAGACTACAACTTACATACTTCACTGCATCCATATACACTGCATAAAGGTGTTTATATATATCATTACTACTCTTTCAGAATTCATGCAATAAACAATATTGAATACTTTGCTTTTAAAGTTATAATTTTGAAATGTTAATCTCATTCTAAACGCAGTTTTACCAGAATTCAAACTCGGCTTGGTTGGTTGATTCATAATTCATAGCGTTGACATACGTAATTACTTTATGAACAGCCTAATGCCTTCAGTAGATGACACTCACAAACTGATATAAACCAAAAGCTTTCTTCTGCCGTCTAAAAGGATGTTATTCGTGGAGACATGTCTGTCTATTTCAGCAGATCTATAGAAAAATAAGATTCTGTCGATAATTTCCTATTTAATATTATAATCGAAATGAACCTGATACCGTTTACACATTGTATACACAATGATTACTTAGTATTGGTACTGTTCAACGAAGGTTAACAAATTAGTTTCATATTGACTTCAATTCTCAATGGCACTCAATTATACACATATGTATATATATATATTTATTCAAGCATGTTTAATTAAATAATATAGACATATTATACATATTTATCGTTATAATAATTCTTTCTAGTTCCCTAATTATCTTCTTGATATCAAGGGAGGTGCCGTATTTTTGTTAACCCAAGTACTTTCGATCTCTTCCGAGCTATTAAAAATATTAACATAAATCAAAAAACCCTAAACATATCAACCTACTATACTGTAATCAAGTGCATTCTAACTAAAACAAGATGAAAAAATCCTATAACATAAGTACTAAAATATTCCCCACTGGTCCCAGTAAAAAATAATACTAATTATATATTATACTAAATTTAATACAACCAGCTTAATCATGCGGAATAACTCTTCTCCATCAGCTAGTGTTTTGGAAAGACCAACATTGTATATCAGTTTAAATGTCCTTTGAGAGATTGTATCTCTGACAAAAATAAGTACATACGACATTATCAAGACGTCTTACACTTCATTTGTTGGATGCAAGTTCTCTCACACATTCCTGTCCACCTTCACAATACAGAAAAATACTTGTTGACAACATCAATATACGACGCCATGAAAATAACAAAAACTTCTCGAGGAGCTCTATATCAAAAGCAAACAACAGACACTGGACACAATTTATAATTTTATGTTTTAAATGTATTTGAGTTCACTAACATTTAATACCATTTTGAAATTTGCTACGTTGCAATTTTACAATCTATGGTTATCGCTTTTTCATTGGGAACACTTGTTAAAAACTCCGTAACCACAACGGTTAATTTTAAGATAATTATAGTAGAGCGTTTGCGCGTGTTTCCAAAATCACTTTTCCCAACGATTACAGTTACATTAAATTTGTCTTTGCAATTCACCCCTGAAGATAATCTCGGCGCAAATCGAAAATACTTGAATTAACAAATAATACAGCGCCTTCCTTAACCTTAAGAAGATAATTAGAGAACTAAAAAGGATTATTATAAAAAAAAAATGTCTATATTATTTAATGAAACATGCTTGAGTGAAGATATGCTGTCTAAATATACATATGTATCTATGCATATAATTAAATACCTGCGGTATAACCTTGATTAGTTAGTTGGTCACGTAGAAAATTTACTAGTGTTGTAAATTTCATACTCATTACTGTGCCCTTGTGTCAGTCTAAGATAATTTAGCATTAAAAAAGCATCAACGATGAGCAAGCTCATATTGAATGTCAATTTTCTCAAGTAGTTTGTTCCTCAATAGATGACAAACTCTTTTAAACTTGTGCCAGACTAAAATAGGCTCTGTAAATAACGGTGCATATAATAATATAATCCTGTAGATTTGTTTACTAAAGTGACCTTCGTCCAGTACATGGTTAAAGAGGAGAAATGGGAACAGGAAGATTCTGTTATGACAATCTTTCAAGTATTGAGTATTTGCTTACATTGAAAATCATCATTTTAAATACGTTTTTTATCACGTAGCCAGTGTAAAATTCGCACACCTCGCCAATAAATCCGTAAATTATGACGGAATAGAAAAAGAAAAAAGATTATATTTTAACGTTTAGTTATTATTTTTTCTTTATTTTTTCCCTTTGTTTTCCTGATCATCTCATGCCCCTTTTTTTAGCGTCCTTTGAAAAAATAAAAAAATAAACAAAAATTTATTCTGAAGATGTTCTTTGGAATTTCACATTTTCATGTTTCTTACGATGGGATTTTCTTTGTCAATAAATTTATAGGTTTTCTTTTGTTGTCTTGCTTGATTTTCATATTTTTCTTCATTGACACCTATGTCCCTTGTAATGTCTAATTTCTTAGATGAAAAATTAATTAATTTTCTTCATAATTATCCATTCAAGCCACAAAAAACTATGGCTGATATATTCTTTATTAGTTATGACAGACCTGTATGCAAATAGGAAATTGACGAAACATGATTTTATAATGTATATTTAGACACTACCTGGTGGGGGAGTTGAAATAATTATGTGTTTCCCGTCGATGTCAGGGAACAGTTTTCGAACCGAGGTAATATGCTGATTTTCTAGGCGGACATCGAGGAAAACTGGTATAATACAATTTCTTCAACACATTTGCTTCATTTGGCCTTGCGTCGTACTAAGTTAAGCTTAGAAAATAGCAATAATTGTTGGCGACAAAAATAATCTAATTGTAGAAATGACTAAATATGCTCCTCACCTGTGCAAAGCACGTACAGTACACATGTCCTTTTTAATATGTCTGCCCCGATAAAAGCAGAAATACTCAAAAAGATTACAGCAGCACGAAGAGGGGGGAAAATGCCAAAAGCAATGAGTTCAGTTGTGCAAACAGTGTCGACAAAATTAAAGTTATTAAAAACGATGAGAAAATAACACCATCCAATCGTTGATTCACGCTTTTTTCTCTCCTACTTATCTGTTTTTCATTCTCAACTTTTGCCTGTTTCAGGTGACCTCACGTATTACTTGATCAGTGATCGATCATCTCTTCCAACTAAACCGAACCGAACTGTGCTGACCTCGTCTGATTTGAAATCGATCCACTGCGACGCCGATGCATTATGAGCGCCCGTGCAACAGCAGTTAACGAATTCGCTTATTGAAATATGTGTTACCGGCTGACACGTTTGGTGCATGATTCGTGGGACATACAAAGTGGGTGAACATCAGCTTTCTACGCCACAGCAGTGTTCAAAGCAGGAAGAAGAGTTAACATTTGGCCATTGACTTTTTTAGGGACTCAAAAAACTATCGAATTTTGGTGGAACACAATTCTCTCTATTAAAATCGAGTTCTTCCGTTTTATTTCAGGTGTCTACCTCATTGGTAATTCATAGTTTTTCTCAAACATTGTTTATTCAAGTAATAGATATCCATCTAATTTTGCACTATGATGATTTTTTTTTATTAAATTGCACCCAGTATAAGGCTCAAAAGCCACTCGATGTAGAAGCCGCAATGGTAATGATGAATGAGATATGTGATATAAATGGAAATTGAAATGAAGATTATAAAGATAACGAGAAAGAATAACAACTGGCCCTTGATTTGAAGAGGTTATAATTAAAATATTCAAAGGAAGCATCCACGCAAAGGTCTTTTCATAAAGTGGAACGTCTTGAGAAAAAGCTTGAGTAAAACTTAAATCTAAAACATAGAAGAAGTGATTCGGATAAATGAAGGTATCATCGCGTGTTCTATCAGTAAAGGTTTGAACTGGTGGAACTAAAGAATAAAGCTCATCGGAACATTTGCCATGGAAATAGCGATACAGTAGCGTTAGTTTTGCAATGTTGCATCTATAGAAATGGGGTTGTACAGGGGAAAATAAGACTTTCCCCACAAGACATCGTA